GTAGAGTAATGTGCTGCTCTCTTTTTAGCCCATTAGAAACCTATCAGTCTTCGCTGTTAGGTAAAAAACGACGACCCTCACGAGGATTCTGGCCCCGACGGGGGGAGGCAGAAAAAAAACCCTCTCCTCTTCTTTGAAGCCAAAAACATTGATTTTACTAAGGTTTTGGCCCCATTTTGGCCTTCCGAGGGGGCAGCGCTCCTTAAAGCTCACCTCTTCTTTCAAGACAAAACCATTGATTTTACTAAGGTTTTGGCATCATTTTGCCCTTTTGAGGGGGCAGCGCTCATTAAAGCTCCCCTCTTCTGTGATCGATTCCCTCCCAGATGGCCCCAAGAAGCGCCCAGGAGGCACCAAGAGGCCCCAAGATGGCCCCAAGAGGTCCCCAGGAGGCCCCCCAGAGGCCTCCAAGAGGCCCCCAAGATGCCCCCAAGAGGCCCCCAAGAGGCCCCAAGAGGCTCCCCCGAGGCACCCAAGACGCTCCTGGAAGCCCCTGGGGCCGCGAAGAGGCCCCCAAGACGCCCCAAACGGCCTCCAAGAGGCTCCCCAGAGGCCCGACGAGGCTCCCCCAAGGCACCCAAGACGCTCCTAGAAGCCCCTGGGGCCGCCAAGAGGCCCCCAAGACGCCCCAAAGGGGGACGAGGTGCCCGAACGCCTCACGCCACGAGGAGCCCGAACGACTCACACCAGGACGAGGGGCCCGAACGACTCACACCACGAAGAGCCCGAACTACTCACACCAGAAGGAGGGGCCCGAACGACTCACACCAGGACGAGGCGCCCGAACGACTCACACCACGAGGAGCCCGAACGACTCACACCACGACGAGGGCCCCGAACGACTCACACCACGAGGAGCCCGAACGAGTCACACCAGGAGGAGGGGCCCGAACGACTCACACCAGGACGAGGGGCCCGAACAACTCACACCACGAGAAGCCCGAACGACTCACACCAGGACGAAGAGCCCGAACGACTCACACCACGAAGAGCCCGAACGACTCACACCAGGAAGAAGGGCCCGAACGACTCACACCAGGACGAGAAACCCCAAACGACTCAAATCACGAGGAGCGCTTTCTCTCCCTCCTCCTCCGCCTCGTCCTTCTCCCGCTCCCCTCACAAGGAGGATGTACAAGGAGGCGGGAGGAAGGAGGAACAGGGGAGATATGCGGGGCCAGGCGGAAACACGCCTGAAAAACACGACTGTCGGCATGCTTCGCAAGAGTTGCTGTTTTGAGATGGGCTGGTGGGGATACGCGAAGCGTGAAAATTATTTCCACCACCACCACACCACAAGTTGGAGGGGGGAGGGCCTCCTCCTCCTCCTCCTCCTCCTCCTCCTCCTCCTACTCCTCGTCCTCCTCCTCGGTCCTCCTCTCGTCCTCCTCCTCGTTCCTCCTCCTCTCCTCCTCTCCTCCTCCTTTTCCTCCCTGTCCTCCTCTCTTTTCCTCCTCCTCCCCCCTCCAACTTGTGGTGGTGGTGGAAAACCGGCCCACCAAGAGATTCGCCCGGGGCCCAGGCGCCCCCCCCCTAAAAAAAAGAAGGCCGAGAGCCACGCCACGGCGGGCCGCCGCCGCCTCGCACGAGGCCCTCTGCGGCCGGCTCGTGGGTGCCCGCCCGCCCCCCGCCCCCCCCCACCCTCTCCCCCAGTGCTGCCGCCACGGCCAGCAGAGGGCGCATCTCGCCGCATCGGGGCAGCTGGCCCGGCGGGTGCCGCCCTCCGACGAAGGGAGAGGCCAGTGCAATAGATGCACAAGCACAAACAGTACAGATGTGTGTATATTTATATATACATATATATACACATCTATAAATAGGTACACATCTATGTGCAAACCATTGGCCACTGTGACGTTGCCAATGTGCTGTTCGTTTTCCCTCTCTCGCTCGCAGGCGTGACGGCGTGCTCCGCAGCGCCGTTCTGATGTTAGGCCACGGTCCCCCCGACGCCGTGCCCTCCTCGCGGCGTGGGCCCCCCCAGGGCGTGCGGCGCGCAGCCCGGACGGGGCCAGCATCGGGCGGGGACAGATCGAGACGCTCCGAGGGGGCCCAAGGACACACAACTAAACACACACACACAAATCCCAGGATACCCCACCCCTTTTCCCATCTGTTCTGGGTGGTCGTCCTCCCCCCCCCCCCATCTCCCCATACCTTTCCCATCTATGTTCCTGGGAGTCGACGACTCATCGCGTCTGGTGCTTCCCCTCCTGACCAGAGCCCGCGGCTCTGGAGGGTGCCTCGGGCGCCGCGGCCTCCTCGGAGCGCTCCAGGACCGCTCCGAGAGCGTTCCGGAACGCCCCTGGAAGGGACTCCTGCCCGTCCCAGCCCCGTCCGAGTCTGCCCCCTTCCTGGGGGCAGCCTTTTCCTCTCGAGCCGTTGTTGACGGTCCTCTGGGCCCTTCGAGGGCCCCAAGACAGAGGATGACGAAAACGCCACAAACATAAACTGGTGCTGCGCGCGGACTTCTTGGATCTGCGCTGGACCCTCCCTCCCTGGCGCGCGGAGTGCGCCAGGGGGGGCGCCGGAGGCGCCGCCAGGGGGGCCCAACGCGGATCCAAGAAATCCGCGCAGAGCGCTACAAATTTATGTTTACAGCGCTTTTTCTTCGATGATGATCGTCCACACCGAGGTGGAACGACGGGGGCGGGGTCGACTCGGGAGGAGGAGGGAGTATCGACCTGGAATCGGCGATATAAGGACGACAGTACTGTCATGATGCGATTGGCTCATGATGCGTCTGAGGTCTCCCGATGTTCGAGCGGCTCTCGGCTACTCGTACTCTGCCATTCGTCTCTGACCGTGCGTGAGAGAAACTGGAAATAGTGGAACGTATCATTACAGTGACATCTTACCCCCCTTAGATACATAGCCGATAAATCGGTGATGGGCACCAGATATCGGCGGCGAGCGAGGGGGGGGGTGAGAAGGAGAAGGCATTCTGAGAAGGCGGCGGGGATTCTCAGAAACATTCGCATCTTCTGAAGGCTTTTCTGTGTCTTCCGGGAAGGCTCTGAATATTTCTCAGAAGGCCAGGAGACTTCTCCGGGGGCGCGCAAAATTGGATTACCGATCCATGGATTTGCCGCGCGGTCGCCAAATCCATGGATCGGGGACTTAAGGTGCCCTCCCCAAAATGCCGCCGGTGCCGCCTCGCTGGGCGGCGGAAATCCGCGATCTCCCATGGACACGGGACCCCTCGCGACCGCCCGACTCCTGCGCCCTGACTGGGCAAGGGGGCGTCGCCGACGCGACGCCCCCTCGATCCGTGTCTGCGGTCGCCTGACTCCTGAGCCTTCCGCGCAGGCCGGCCCCGCCTCGCTTCCCCCCCCCCCGGCTCGCCGCCGAGGATGCACGTCGATCGGAAGAAGCAGGTAAAGACCTGAGGTGGGAAGGCGAAAAAGCAGAATGGGCTCAGGCCCTCCCAGAGAATACGTAACAGGGCGCAGCAAGAGCAGGTCGACTCCTGGAAGTAACGAAGGCGCTTGAAGCAGACTGGGCTCTGGGGATCCCAAAGATACCTCCTTCCAGCGACCAGCGTGCAGCGCCTGTCCGCCTGCTGCCGGGCGGGGTGGGCTGTCGGGCCCCCGCTCGGCGGCGAGCGGGCGGCCGTGGCGCGTGGACGCGTGCCAAGGGCTCGCGGGGAGCGCGGGCGCGCACTGCGTGCGCCCGCCCACCCCTGCCGCTGGAGAGGGCCCCCCCACGCCTGCCGCTCGCCTCCGAGCCCTCCACATCCGCCCCCCGCCCCATGCCATTCCCGTTCCCACACCCAGCATCTCCCTCTCCATCCCTCCTCTGCGCCCCCGTCCGGCTCCCCCCACTCCCTCCCACCTCCCGCTCCCGCCCCCCCGCCAATCCCCGATCTCTCCGACTCTCCCTCCTGCCGCCCACCCCCCCCCTACTCCCTCCTGCCTCCCGCTCCACCATCCTCCACTCCTATCGTCTCTTTCACCATCGCCACTAGCGCCACCATCACCAACAACATCATCAATCATCAACGGCATCGTTGCCATCACCATCACCATTACAATACACTCATCATCATCATCATCATCATCATCATCATCATCATCATCATCATCATCATCATCATCATCATCATCATCATCAGCATCATCATCATCATCATCATCATCATCATCATCATCATCATCATCATCATCATCATCATCATCATCATCATCATCATCATCATCATATCACATCATCATCCATCATCATCATCATCATCATCATCATCATCATCATCATCATCATCATCATCATCATCATCATCATCATCATCATCATCATCATCATCATCATCATCATCATCAGTATCAGTATCAGTATCAGTATCAGTATCAGTATCAGTATCAGTATCAGTATCAGTATCAGTATCAGTATCAGTATCAGTATCATCATCATCAGCATCATCAGCATCAGCATCATAATCATCATTACCACATTACCACCATCAACAACATCAACATCCTAATCATCATCACCACCACCATCAACAGCAGCATCATAATCATCGTCGTCAGAATCATCATCAGCATCGTCAGTATCAGCATCATCAGCAGCATCAAGATCATCATCATCATCATCATCATTGGCATCAGCATCATCAGCAGCATAATCATCAGCAACATCGTCATCCTCCTCATCATGATCAGCATCATCATCCCCACCACTATCGCCGATACCATCATCCTCACCACCACCCTCACTATGACGATCACCACCATCACGATGATCATACTCCTTCTCGTCTTCCTCCTCTTCGGCCTCCGCCTCCGCCGCCTCCTCCTCCTCCCGCACCTCAGCCTGAGGCGGACACGAGAGGTTCAACTCCCTCGCCTGAAAGGAGCGATCAGGCGAGAGCAACTCTCCCCCCCTCCCCCCCCTCCTCCTCCGCCTCCTCCTCCTCCTCCTCCTCCTCCTCCTCCTCCCCCTCCTCCTCCTCTCTGCCCTTCCCGCCTCCCTCTGTCCGCCTCCTCCCCCCCCCCTGGCGAGGCCCACGTTGGGCAGCTCGACGACGCGGCCGCGCGTCGACGCCGACTGGTCCACCGCCTGCCCGGCGAGCTACCCGCCTGCAGTCGAAACGCTGTCATTAGGAACCCCAGCTAAGGAACGAGGCCCCTTTTTCTCCAGAAGTTAAAGGAAGGGAACACCCCAGGAGAAATGTACAACAAGTGAAGAGCACTGAGCCCCTCCCCAACGAAAAGGGTTCCTTCTTCAGCGGCCCGACTGTACGTCCCCTCCCCTTTCCCTCCCATCCTCTTTCTCCCTCTCTCCCTCCCCACCCGACATCCACTTCAGTTCGGTTCACTGCGGAAGCACGTGTCGATGCCACCAGCCCCAAACAACAAAAACGCTTAGGCCTCGATCTCCAGATCATCCTGAACCACCACCAAAATCAGGAATCCGGCTGAATCGGTTGAGGAGCTGGGCGGGATCCAACTTCTCCACCCAAAGGCCGCCAACATTATCTAGGAACGCATCTGGCTCCGCTCCCTGAAGTCTGACCCCGCTTTGACGATGCACGGATGACAGCCAGGAGGTCAGAGGGGGAGAGCGACCGGTGGCATAAGACTGTCCGGCCTCGGTATTGTCGTGCTCAGCTGGGGAAACGTCCCTTGGCAAACCTCGATCTCTGCTGTCTGAGGTCCTTAGTCGGGAGGCGGCCTGGACACTGAGACGCAAGAAAGACCACACCCAACCAAGTATAGCCTCCGCATGTGAGACAAGACATCACCCACCCATTCCCACTCTCCCGACAACCATCAGCCACAACCACATTCGCCTTGCAAATGCTGTGACCCTCCAATCGGGTCAGAAGAGTGAGCTCCGTAAGATGGTCAGCGCTTCTTGGACCAACCTCCAGAGTATCAAAAAAAATGGAACCTTAAAACCAACATTCAGTTTCCGAACCTGCCTCAGGATGAGTATCCTTCTAGGCTGATCGGTCTCCATGTGTCGAGCCTGCAAACGCGACGGACACCCAGACGATTCAGTCCAGCCTCTATCGGCCAGTTTGATACCTTGGACGGCTCCCTACCTAAGTAGGTACTGCTGCAGCGTCCTGGTAACATCCAACGCCTGAACCATCAGCTCAGGCAGGGGGCGTGCCTCGGCGCCTTGCTTAGCTGGCCTGCGTGCCTGTTGCCGAGACGCTCCAAACCGCTGCGAACATCATTGGGGATATCGGTCGCCGTGGCGTGGCCCCCCTCCCTAAATCCGTCCCCCACCTCCCCGTCCCTCCCCTCCCCTCCCTCCCCCTCCCGCCCGCCATTCCCAACTCAAACCTCGAGACGTCTCGGAAAGAAGCGCGTCGGGCCCTTGCCTGTTGCCTTCCAACCTTGGGGAGGGACGTTCTCTCGGGCGCCCGGGCGCCATCCAGAAACGATCCACAAGAAAAACGGGCCAAGGGATACAGTCGTAACGCTGTCCTATAGAACCCTAAATAAGGAGCGAGGCACTTTTTTTCAACATAAGTCCAACTTCGATTTCTCATCGAAAAAAACACAGGGGAACCTAAGACAAACTATAAAACAATTAAGGAATACTCAGCACCTCCCCAAAGAAAAGGCTTCTGTCTTCAGCGGCCCGACTGCAGGGTCGGGAACTCAACGTGCACGCGCCGCAAAGAAAGGCTCGACGGACGAAGTATGGGCCATATGGGTGCACTGTTGTTTCCTCCTCTGCGTTTTGTCTGCGCCCCTGAAACTACAATTTTCATACGATGACCTGGCCACACCGGCAACGGTACAGACAGACCACGCTGGCTGGAAGGAAAGCAGGGGGAGAACCAGGGACTGCATCAGGAACGCGAATGGGAAAATCAAAGGAGGAAACCGCCACAGGTGGGAGTCATCCTTGTTCTCCTCCGCCAACCCAGCTTTGGCAATCGTGTGCCAACTCGACTCAGCGTGCCGTTTTGCTGCAGGAGATGAACTGCCTCGACCTGTGGAAGCGTCTGCTGCGGTTGCCCGTTCTTCTCGCGCGCTTTAGGGTCAGCGCTGCAGATGACGACCACGCACACACACAAACACACACACACACGTGCACACAGAAGCACACGTCTGCTCTTCATCATCCACTTCTACAACTTCCACACTTGCCAGGACCACCATTGATGGCCCATTTGGTCTCCCTCCCTGGTTCTGTCTGTCCCTCAATCATGCCCAACCCGGAACACGCAACTTGCGAAGATGCCATCCACATGCTGTGTTGAATGCCCCCGCCGCCTGTTGCAAGGTACCGGCGCAGCCCTTCTTCTTCGAGTAGATCGTAATAGGGCCCGGGTATGTCTTGAACCAACTATTCTCCTTCGCTCCACAAACTTGGCTTCTCGTCCGGTCACAAGCGGAGCAGCGACCGGTACGTCGTCCAGCTATCAACCATTCTCTGGTTGCCCCATATATCTTCGTTATCTGGTCGCTGCTCCGAAAACTCCGTATTATACATCATCATCGTCCACGTGTCCCCGATCCCCCCTTTCCTGTTACTCCTGCTCCCCCCCTTCCTCTCCCTCCTCGTTTTCCTCCTCCCCCCTTTTTCCCTCATCATTCCTTCCGGTTTCGCTTTCTACACCTTTTTTTTTTCCTGTTCCTCTTTCCGTCTTCCATTTCCCGTAAAAACTTTTTCGTACGATGCGGATGCTTCCGCGGGGGAAAAAAAAACGGCACCTTCCAATGGCCCTATGAGCGGTGCTGGTGGCACAAGAGGGGGGTGACGTTGATGCCTCTTTCACGTGTGGCGGAGACAAAAGACTTGTTGCGCAAGGCCCCGAGCTACTCCCAGGAACTTGATGCCCCAGCGCGGTGGGTGGTTTGTTCACAATCGGCCGAGCGCATGAGCCCAAATGGTCACAGGCATCGGGCAAAACGAAAAGCACACACTTTCGTGTTGTCACACGAAGGCGTCGACTGGCCTTAGAAGCGGTACGATGGTGGTGCAAGAGGGAGGTGACGTTGATGCCTCTCCTAAGAGTGGCGGAGACGGGGGCCTTGTTGCGCAGGGGCCCGACCCACTCCCAGGAATTCGATGCCCCCATCAAGCGATGGGAGTAGGTCACCAAGGAGGAAAGGGCGGACGCCAGGAAACGCGGGGGGGGTCGGTCCCCGGGGCCACCCACCGGACGCTGCGAGCGTCGAGGCCCGCCAACCGCACCTCGCCCCACACGCCCCGCCACGCCAGCATCGCAGCCACCCCCGCCGCACCGCGCCGCGCGAAGGCGAGCAGGGACGGCGGCTCAAAGGCCTCTCCACGGCCCGTGGGGGGCCCCTGCAAAGCCGACCCCCGATCCCACCAAGGGGGCCCTCGCCCATTGCCACCGAGGCGGCCGCAGGGTTCCCAGGAAGGGAACGCGGGGTCGGGGCGCATCCCCTCCGGCGGGGGGAGGTTTAAGCAGGCAATAGTTACCTCGCGCTGCACCCCCGCCTTGAAGAAGTCGCGCGGGGCCCCGTCCGCCGCTGGCGCCACCTCCAGCTCCGCCCGCGCGGTCTCGTCAATGGGCGACGCTGTCGCCGCGGCGTCAGGCACGTGCGCCCGCGGCCCCTCTGGTCGCGCCCCGCCGCGGGTGCCCCGCCCTTTGCGGCCGCCCTCGCATCGACGATCGCCATCTCGTCAAGCACGCGCCACTTGAGGTCCACGGCCGCCGCGCGGATCCCAAGGGACTCGTCGACGTCCGACGTCTTCACGTTGCTGAGATGACCCACCTCATGTTTCTCCTCGCGCGGCAGCCGGTCCAGGATCAGCGCCATCTTGCGTGACCTCCGCTCCTCCGAAACGTCGATGGAAAGACCGTCGACGGTCGCTTGGTCGACGTGGCCCTGTTCGCCGCGCAGGCGTTCCCGAAGTTGCCCGTCGACCCCGCCATCTCGCGGCTCACAATCTGGCGGCTCTCCCCGGGCTTCGCAAACCGCTTCGCGCGGGGGGTCGCGCCCAGGAGCTCGAGCGCCGCGATGATCCGATTCGGGTCGTTTGCCCCGGCCCACGCCCAGGAGGGCCATTCCTTCTCAGCCTCGGTCGCACGCCAGCGAGCCCCATCGCGTGCTGCCGCGGGGCGGCACTTCCCAGGCGCCTACAAAGGAACGCCCCCCCATTCCGCCTTCGCACCTGAGCAGACATCCCAGGCGCTCTCGCGTCTGAACTAGATGGGCGACTCCAATCCATGTCCATGACCCAATCGTTTGCCGATCCACGCCAGCAAGCCTGGTCGCCCACGGCAAGAAGACTCTTTTCCTGCCCATACTTGCGACGCTGGCGATCCAGGCATGCACCGGCCCCAGCAGCGACATCTCCCGCGCCAGGATCACCCACGCGAAGCCCGGGCGCCCCAAGCCCGAAGCCAGCTCGCCCACGTGGGCGGCGCCACGTTCGACTTGCCCCCCGCGCCAAGCTGCTGCCCACGCCACCCTCACCTCAGAGAGACCCATGGTGTACTTGTTGTAGTCACAATAAAGTCCAATCCACTCTACCTCGAGGCCGCCCGCGTCTTGACCTAATGCGCCAGGAAGCCGAAAACGCCGAGTAAGACGACCATGGGGGGCGTTGCCAGCCGCCCTCGTTTCCCCGCACGGATCGCCCCCATGTCGTCGGCATATGTGAACTGTTCTGCTGGCCACTCGTATCCTAACAAGTAGAACTACACCTAGCGCGGCACCGAATAGCCTGGCCCACCATTCTGAAGCGATGGGTATGCCGGAAGTGCACACGGTGTTGCCATACACCCCGCCCTCGAACACGCAGGCCAGCATGCCTCATTCGTCTTCGCGGATTTGGGCTAGCCGATGCGCTCCCTCGACGTCGGTGACGGATGAGAAGATGATCGCGCGCGGGTCCTCGTAGTATATTAAAAAGTAGTTCTTCACCGCGAGCCTCGGCATGCCCTGCTGGTTCCAGCATCGCACCCAGCGGTTCTCGGCGACCTCGCGCGCGCCGTCGCGGGCGAGTCTGTTCATGCCACTCGAACTCCCCAGGACTGCAACTGCCGCGATGGCGCTTGTCGTGGAAGCAGTGGCGCAGCTGCTCCTGGGACATCTTGATCATCCTGCCCGCCTTTACCTCGGCCGCGAAGTGTTGCCCGTGCCAGTCGCTCTGGTCTTCCGATTCGATGTGCGCGGCCGCCTCTGGGGCGGCCCAGTTGGCGGCCTCCTGATCGAGACGCGACCTCGCATATTCTTCGAACAACTCCCTGCCAGGACGTCTCGTGCAATGTCCGCTGCGACTCCCGTCTCCAGCCCCTTCATCAACTCCGCGCCTGGACCCGCAGCTTCGCGTATGAGTGCCACTAACAATCGGGGCGACTGGGCTGCCCCTCGGAGATGCATCCCACGTTGTCGCCGCGAACCGCCCGCCCCTGGCCAGGCTTCGAGCATCCCCCTGGCCGCCTCGTTGACCTCGCGAGATCGGAGGGCGCGCATGGGTCGGCGCCGGCCTGGCGTCTCTGCGCCACCAGCTCGAAAAGGGGACTTTCTGTGGCGCCCCATCCGCGCGCGGCTTTCACTACCCCCCCCCCCCGCAGAGATCGGCCCCCAGCTCGCTCCAACACGGGAACTTCCGAAGATCTGGGCCCCAGCGGCCAGGCGAGAGATGGCCCGCGCCGTCGTGCAATCTTCTCGGGCCATGGATGCACGCGCTCAGCGAGGCAGTCCTGAGCCTCCAAATTGGCGCGGGGGCCTCGCGGTCGCACGCCGCATGCCGCGATGATTCCGTCCGCGTGGCAGTTGGGGCCCACGTCGCAATGGCACCTGAGGGTCGCCTCGTCGAGCTCCGAGAGCGCCTCGAGCGGGGGCCGCTCTGCGATGGGCGAGATGGCTGCCTCCGGGCCCCATCTGCTCGCCGGGAAGTTGCCGCTGCCCCGCCCGATGTAGATGCCCCCTTCTCTGGGCGGGCTGCTCTCGACAGGGGGGCCCTCTTCGGTGCCCCCCCGGCCCCCGCCCTCGCCCTGCTCCCCGAGCGCGACTGATGAGCTGTTCCAGGCGAGGCCCCCCTCCTGCGACGGGCAGAGAGCCTGTCTGCCCAGCTGCCCATGCCCCGCGACACTTGCTCGCACAGCTGCGGGGGGCAGGTCGCGTCGCCCGCGGTCTCGACCGCGGCGTCGCCCCGCCCGCGGACTAGCGACTGGCGCCTTGCAGGCGGCGGCGGCGGCAGCGGCCCCTGGCGCGCGCCGTTCGCGGCGAACTGCGGCCCCCCGCGAGGGAACCGTAAATCGCAAGTCAGCCCCGGACACTGGCCGACGAGACGCGTCGGCCTGCTTCGGGCACGGCGCGCCGAAGCTGCCCTGCTGGAGGGCCTCGAGGGCGATGAGCTCGTCGACGCAGGCAGCTGCCACGCGCTGACTGGGCGCGGAACGCAGAGCTCGCCATGGCGGGCGGCGCAGAGGTCCTCGGGTCGCTACAGAAGGCCGGCCGCGCGTCTGCCGTTCGTCAGCTGGCCCTCCAGCGCGCGGAAGGCGAAGCCGGCGAGCTGGTTGAGCACCTGGCACCGCAGCGCCGCGCGACCCCCCAGCCAGGGGAAGCCTTTTTTCCGGCAGCACTGGGCACGGTCATCGTCGGCCCATCCACAGACCCCTGGCCAGAGGCCGCAAGGAGGCGAAGCCGCGGGAATGCCCCGTTGGCCTGCTGCCAGCCTGTCGAGGTTGTCGTCGCGCAGCGCTGCGTCGGAAAGGTCGGCGTCGCCCGACCTGGCCAGGCCCGCCTCCCCCAAGCGGGCCTCTATCCCGAGGCCGGGCGCGAAGCCGCGTCATCTTCCCTTCGCTTGTGCCCCGCGAAGACATGGAACACCTGCAGCTGCAGCTATGCCCTGCGCCCCGCCCGCTGAATTCTGGGGCGCGTCCAGCTCCTGCCTCACTTTCTTGCCCTCTGCTCGTCGGGGTCGCCCCCCGCTGGGGCGCGCGGAGACGACTCCCGACATCCTGGACTTCGCTCGCGGACGTCGGGATGACCTTGCGAGGCGGGCGCCCGCCCTAGGAGGTCGCGCGGCGCCTCTCCCCCGCCGGCGAACTCCTCAACGGGCCGTCGCGCGTTCCCCCCGACGGCGCGCCGGCGCGGCCCCCGCCCCGAAGGGCCGCGCGGGGCCCCGCTGACGCCCGCCCTGCGGAGGCTGCCCGCGTTGCCCCGCGGAGGGCGCGGGCTGCCCTCGCGCGCGGCCCTGCCGCGAGGGCGCGGCCGCCCGGGGCCGCTGGGCCTGATTCTGCGGACGGCGCCAGCAGAGGGCGCGGCCCCCATGGCCCTGCGCCGCCCTCGTCGTCGCCCTGGCGCCAGAGCCGATCGCCGCCCCCCAGCGGCGCCGGCAGCGGCCGCCTGCCCTTCGGGGCGCC